AAGTCGGATGGATCAATTGATAAATACAAGGCTAGATTAGTAGCCAAAGGGTATAGACAAAAAGAAGGACTAGATTTCTTTGACACCTATTCATCCGTTACAAGAATTACGTCTATACATGTCTTGATTGCAATCGCAGCATTGTATAATCTTGAAATACATCAAATGGATGTCAAAACCGCGTTTCTAAATGGTGAATTAGAAGAAGAAATCTACATGGAACAACCTGAAGGGTTTGTTGCACCAGGAAATGAAAAGAAGGTGTGTAGACTTGTAAAATCATTGTATGGATTGAAACAATCACCGAAGCGTAGACTTGTAAAATCATTGTATGGATTGAAATAAGTACCGAAGCAATGGCATGAAAAGTTTGATAAAACTATGTTGTCAAATGGCTTTAAAATCAATGAATGTGACAAATGTGTCTACATTAAAAACGCACCTAATGAATATGTAATCATATGCCTATATGTTGACGATATGCTAATTATGGGAAATAACTCCAAAGTCATTTCCTCGACTAAGAAAATGTTAACAAAACATTTTGACATGAAGGATATGGGAGTGGCGGATGTAATATTAGGGATTAAAATCTCTAAGACATCCGATGGTTTGTCATTGTCTCAATCACATTATGTTGAGACTATACTTAAGAAATTTAAGGCGTATGACGATAAATCGGTTAAGTCACCAGTTGACTTAGGTATTTACTTAGCCAAGAATACTGGTGAGCCCGTATCTCAATTGGAATATTCGCGTGTCATTGGTAGTTTAATGTATATTACCAACTGCACAAGACCGGATATAGCATATATAGTCAACAAGTTGAGTAGATTCACTAGTAATCCAAGTATTGTACATTGAAAGGCATTAAACCGAGTTCTTAGATATTTAAGACACACGGTTGAATATGGATTACACTACTCAAACTTCCTGCGGTATTAGAAGGATATATTGATGCAAAATTGGATATCTGACACTAAGGATTCAAAATCCACGAGTGGTTATGTATTTACCATTGGAGGTGGAGCCGTGTCCTGGAAATCGTCTAAGCAAACATGTATTGCTCGATCCACGATGAAATCTGAGTTTATTGCGTTAGACAAAGCCGGTGAAGAAGCAGAATGGCTTCGTAATTTTCTTGAAGAAATTCCATGTTGGGAAAAGTCGGTTTCTGCGATTAATATACATAGCGATAATCAGTCGACAGTAGCAAGGGCACAAAACAGTATGTATAATGGTAAGTCTCGACATATCCGTCGGAAACATAATACCATTAAACAGTTAATATCGAATAGTATAATCTCTATTAACTATGTGAAGTCAAAAGAAAATTTGGCTGATCCTTTGACGAAAGGACTTGCAAGAGATCAAGTTTACCATCTTTCGAGAGGAATGGGCCTAAAACCTATTGAATAGAATTACTATGACGGAAACCCAACCTTGTAGATTGGAGATCCCAAGATCTTGGTTCAATGGGACAACTAAGTCATAAATGATTCGGAATAAAGCACTTATTCTCATTCCTAAAATTTAAAGTGCTATGTAAAATGCGTATAAGGATAAGTATACATATATACTTTTAATGATTCATAACCTTGAGATAGAAAGGTATGAGATCACCTATATAAGTGTGAAATGGGGCCGTTTCTACGAGAATTCGAGGCTTAATTCTCTTAGAGCACTTATAAAACCAAGAGTTGTCCAGGGCCAAAATGGACTCAACCATGAGAACCGAATAGGTTAGATGAGTCATGGTGTTGGTACAGTTGTTTGGTTTTACACGAACGGCTGGATGGTTCAAGACATCGCGTTCACCAACTAGCCTAGTAAATTCGATTGTATTCAACTAAAGAAGGTTCAAGGCCACAAGCTACCTATCTTGCTGCTATAACTTGTCGTGTGTACTCCATTTGTTAGAGTCTGCATTTCATTTGCATTGCATTTGCATTGTGTTGCGCATATCGAGGAATTTTCATTCATGTGGGGGATTGTTGGATATTGGTTAAATAAATCGAGAATTGAAAATCGATTAAAGTGACTTCGTATCGACTTCGGCCAAATACTCAAAAGCTCGACTCAATCCGTTTAGGCAAAATTGTTTGGTATATTTGGCATTTCGAAAACCAATATCGGATGAATGAGAAATTACGAAAAAGGACGAAAATCAGTGAATAGACACATTTTCATAAAGGTGCATTGTTTAGAAAGGGTGCATGGTTTGGCCTCAACCATTAGTGAATAGACACCTTTTCATAAAGGTGCATTGTTTGGAAAGGGTGCATGGTTTGGCCTCAACCATTTCGTCCACACCCTTTCATGGTCTATAAATAGGACCCTTTGGGTATCCTATTCCTCACAATTTGATATGCAAAACATCTCTCATCCTCTCTTCTATCCAAAATCAAAATCATTTCATTTATTTTGATTTTCCTTCATTTCATCCTTGGAGTACATAAGCCTAAATTTGGTTCGTTGTACTTGTGTTTTGGAGTGCTACAAACACAAGTGTAGCCGTTGTATCTTGGGAGTCGATTGCCGAAATCCGTAGGCACCGTTGCGGGGCAAATTCGACTTAAGGACAAAGAGTCCAACTCTTGCCTCGGCTTTGTCCCTACTTTCTTCTTCTTCTTGTTTGTGTTTTCTTTGCCGTTACTCTGTCCAATTTTCGGCACGGATTTACAAACCATCATTATACTTATTTTGGCGTCACTATTCACAAAATTCATCCAACAGTAATATTAATAAATAAATTATCTTTATCTTCTCTATTATTTTTGCAAACGTCTCCCTATATTCAGAAGGGTTCATGATAAAAAGTTATGGCATTTAATAGGGTATAATCTATATAATTAAATATGAAATTGTGCAATTTAATGGTTAAAATTAATTTGTGCCAAAATATACGACCATTGAAAAAGGCTTATTGAAATTTATTATTGAACCCTCCTAATTCTATCTTCTTTACTTCTAATTTATTTTTTTTCCAAACTATGTCAAAACAATTTTTAAATTATTCTAGAGTTTTGTGTTCGTTAAGTAATATTCGATATTTTTCATTCTAGAAGAGTACGATGTAATATTATTTGCCTGACACGAATTAATATTCTATTATACTAATTTCAAAATAAACGCTATATCTTGAAAGACACATCTGTTTGATCCTATTGCTATTAGCGTCAATGCAAGAGGTGAAATCTGTCTTAACGGGATTTGCATTCCCATATCTCGCTTCATTTCATCTCCTTTTAATTACTGCATTTTCCTGAATGTCAATATGTCGTCGTTTTATTATTTTGCATGTATGTATTGTGATTTTCGGTAAGTTAAATTACTGTCCGATAATTTGCATTATACGCCAATTTATCCAATAGAGTGTCTATCTGTCACACCTGGTAACTTCGCTTCTTACAACCTTAAAGTAATCTCCTACATAGTTTCCTTCTCGATGTATATGGCTATGTTGAAGTGAGGTTTGTGATCTGACTATAACAAAGGTCCGTTCCGCGGATAATCTAATTTGATGTTATTACGCCCAAATATACCACAAGATAAGTAAATGAATAAAGGTATAGATGTGCCCCCGGGACATAGTTCAGTGGTGCAAAGGATATGAGTGAGATTATTTCACGCTTTGCTGGCAGTCGCAGTGTGGGGGTTCGATTCATGAGACATGGAATTGGACTCCTTATAGGCGCAGTGTACAGACAGTTCTTGTTCTCTGGCCTGCTGGGACACATCTCGTGATTTACCTCCCTCACAAAACTCTAGGGGTAGAGCAGTGGGAGCCCTCAAAGTTAAGGTTCAACTTTTTTTTCTTTTTTTTTTTTATTTATTTTTTTTTTTTTGAATAAAGGTATAGATGTGTTTCAGATATCAGATTCTTAGTGCAAGAAACTAAAATTACTATAGCAAGACTTTTGGTAGGTGACAGTACATCTGAAGTACAAATTTTATTTGAAAATTCTGTACTAAAGTTAATCCTAATCCAATTATAAACTATACAACTTGAGATTATACTTGTTAAAACACAAAAAAATCGGAACAAAAAAATATATATATTTACAGAACTGATTCATCATCAACAAAAAATAAATCATCTAAGTCTTCTAGAGTACACTGAGGATATGAAGTTCCCAATCCATTCAGAAAAATATTGTTCATCTCCCTGTCAGTGAGAAAGTCGTTTGATTCTTGCAATATTTGTGGTAATGGGATAGAAGGGAAGCTGCTATTTTCTGACGTTGAAGCGTGTTGGACATCATCCTCGTTCGCTAGCAGTTTTGGCAAAGATGGTCTTAAAATTGGCGTAAAATGTCGTCGTTGTTCCATATTTCTTGAAGGATTTTCCAACAGAAAAGGCTGTTGGGAAATGCCCTCGATCAACGTTGAGGGATTATGATCTACAGATGTTTCTGGCTGAGAAGACTGTAAGGAAATGCAATCTGTCAATGTTGAAGGGCTCGAAAATGAACTCACGTTTGGTTGGATATAACTGGTGGATGTCCCAGCCAATTAAAATTTAACTCATCCTCTGTAGTTCTTAAATCGGAAACTCGTGTTTCTGTGCTGATTACATTGTGAGTAGAAATTTTATGTTGGCTACCTTCTATTGACTTTCCATCATTTGTAAATCTCAATCCGACGTACACATAAGTGGAATTAGAATTCATCGACAGATTGGTTTCGGCAGATGAATTATCTCTTTTGATCTCACAAAATGCTTCGTTGTCTTGTCCTCTAGGAGGGTATTTCTGTTGCAACTTTTCTAGGCCATTTTGATTTCTATATTGCGAAATTCCAAGATTCGTATAATTTCTTCTTTCTGGCATGGTATTTAGGAATTGAGTGACCCTCTGATTGTTTGCAGAAAGTAGTCGTGAATGCCTCGAGTTCAACGTGCTTGCAGATTCTTTTGCATTCAAAAAATAGGAAACTTGGTGAAAAGGTGGTGTGTAACACTGTACAGTACTGGAATTCCTTTTCAAGGAGTCGAATCTTGTCACCGAAAGGGATGGAAAAGAAAACGGTCCCTGGTAGTATAGGTTTCTCGCCTTCGTTTCATACATGGAATTAACACTTGCATCCTGGTCTCTTTTTTTCCTATCACGGTATTCCTGGAAAAAGGATCAAATTGCCTTCGTTCAATCAAGAATTTTAAGGATCATAACAAGTTGAAGATTCAAATCTTAAAATGGAACAAACCTGCAAATGGCTAGCAACATTTTCTCTGGTTAACCCGGGAACTTTCATTCTCTCAACTATTTTCTTTGGTACTGCTTCTGAGAAAGTACAAAGAAACGGTTAAAATGCCTGCGTTGTTATTTTAAAAAGAACAAGGAAAATGGGACAAAAAGAAAGAGAAGAAAAAAGGTATATTACTTTCCTGGCCTAGAAAGTCGATGGCTTCCAAGAATTTCTGATGCATTTCTCGTCCACACCATCCGCGGTTTCCTTTTATTATGGGAATCATCTTTAACATCTTCATTTTTTTCACTTGAACTTCTATCTTCTTCTCTCTTTCGTTGGTGTTGAACTTGTGTCGGTTCAATATTTGACGATGGATTATTCCCTGCTTCAGTTACATTATACGACATGGATCTCTCTTGAGAATTGCCTTCTAGTTTAGCTACCACCTTGTTAGCTTTTACTTTCTCAAATGCAGATTGCCAAAGACCATTTATATCCTTTCGACTCAAAGAATTCACGACGTATGCTGATACAATATAATCTTCACCATTTGATGTTATCTTCATCTTATCTGGTGACATTACTGCAAAGAAAAACTTGAAAACTGAAGATTTTGTCTGAAACATCATTATTTTCTAGTAATACGAAGGAACTAAAACGTTTTACTTACAAATGGTAGGAAGATTGAACTGGTTTTGAATACATTGGACAACTCTAACCTGTGAGCATTTGTTAAAACCAGTTCGAATCTATCCTCTCTCTCCCACATGATACTTATAGCCTTCGAAATTCGTCCAATATACAATTCTGAGAAAATAAAAGCAACTAGTGAATCAAGTTGTATGCATAACATGTCACAAATATTTATATTACCAGAATCACAAATATTTCCTATGCTTGTGCTGCTTCACACAATACCTTCATGAGGGCAGTGCTTAAGCATTTCAGTCGCGATATTACGGCATGTAAAATCATCATTCACAACAAGAATGCAGATTTCTTTGCATTTCCCATTTAAGATACCTTCCCTTATGTCCATCATTGATGCTTAGAAAATAATTTCAAATTTGGAATTAAGGTAGCGAAAACAATATATAATAGAGACATGAATGATTTACTTTTGACGTACCTCTAAGATTGTTCTTAATGGCACGCATGGAACTATCTTGGATTGAAAGCTTTGTTGCATAGCGATTAGAAAAGATTTTGTAATAAAAGCAAATGAATGGTATAATTAATTTCAAGATTCTTGTGTGTGTGTATTTATTTTTATTAGCCCTGTTTGATATTCCCTTATTTTTCATGGAAATGGAAATTAAATTCCATTTCCCACCAGGGGCGAATCCAGCGTCGAAGTTCAGCTAGGACGGAGCTTGACTATTGATCTTTCACCGTCAATAATCAACGATTGTAATAGCCCGATCGTTAATTAAAATTTGATTAAATAATATTAAAAATTATTCAATTTATATGTAAATGTACTAAAAAGAATACTAAGTGCATACAGGTTGAATTGAGCCCAACATCTTCTTAATTAATTTTTTCACTTATCTTACTTTCCTAAATATAATTCTCAAATCAATAATCATAACTCATAAAATATAAATTATTTATCATAATTCACAAATCACAATTCTCAGAAATAACTCATAAAACATCAACAACAACAATAATAATAATAATAATAATAATAATAATAATTAAAAAAAATTGCCTGTAGGCTAATAACACTCATAAAAAACAAATTTATCATAATTCAAATGCGATTATTGATTAATAAGACTAATAACACAAATTACAGTCAACACTCAACATTCAACAACTCAAGTGAAATTTGAAACTAATTGAAGCTTGATAACACAAATTAAATCTATTATTGTTCTAATTTCATGTATTAATTAGTAATTTTAAGCTTCAAAGGTAGAATTCATTTCGAATTAGAGTTCAATTCAATATAAGAATTCAGTAAGCAAAATTCAAAACCAATAACATAGTTCCAACTTCCATGTCGTCGATCCTTTACAGCCCCTCTCTCTTTCACTTTTTTATTTCCCTTTCCTTATATTGTTATACACGTCAAACTCTTATTACTATTACTTAACTGCAGATAATTAATTCCATTTTAGGGAAATATTTGGTTTCCTTAAGAAAACAAAAAGAAAAACAATAGAGAAAGAGAATAAGAGAAATGCACGCTCACCTGTAGGCTGCTCGAAGAAAGACGTCGTCGACGGTGACTCCTTATCCTCTTCCTCAGCGCCTCGCCCATGGGGTCGCGTCAGCAGCAGCAAGAGCTAACAGCAAAGTAGTGACCATCATTCGTAGCTCGAACTTTGCACAAATCGCAGGCGCAGCTGTTGCTTTTGCTTCGAATGGAAATTATGGAATTGGGGAAGGGTTTGCTGTCGGTTTCAGGCTTTCAAACACTTCAGCCTCAGGTTTCCCTTTTACGAATTTGAAATTGGATTGGAGTATTGGATTTGGACTTGATTTGGGAAAAAAACCATGGACCATGATTAATTGATTTGGGCCTAATGATTTTAAACAAAAAGAGGCCATGTCAATTGTCAGCAGCCCAAACAAAAAAAAATTGAAAAACCGGTCATCTTTTTACTTTCCCTCTTCCTCCATCTCTGCAAACCGTAAGCCTGCAAACCTCCAGCGCCCGGGCTGTGCTGAACATTTTGCCGAATCCAGTACGAGCGGCCGCGGGTGCTCGCCAGGTGTTGGATTCGTGCCTGTTTCCCACTATGGTAGAATTTTTCCATGAAAATAGTTTTCTCCCAACCCCTGCCACATAAGCTTTTTCTTGCTGTTTGATGTTTTTCCAGGTTTTTCCTTTTTTTTTTTTGGGGTAACAATTGAAACAAATTCTATGAACAATTATAAAAGAAAATATCCCATAAATTGACCATTTTTAATGTAAAACAAAGTCAAACGAACACCAAAAGAAAAATAATTTTTTTTTTTTTTTTTTTTTTGGTGGCAATGGAAACAAGTTCTAGGAACAATTGTAGAAGATGATATCCCTAAAATTGACAATTTTTATGAAAAACAAAGCCAAACAAATACTAAAAGACACTTTTATTTCAAAATTTTTCAGGTGGAAAATTATATCAATCAAATATTATTAATTGACAATTCTCAGTAAAACAATTTCTAGACAAATCAATTCCCTGAAATCCACTTTCTTTCCACTCAAATTTCATCTTTGCAATCAAACGAACCCTTAATATATTTCATTTATGTGACGGTGAATTTATGTATATTAGTATAAATCAATAAATTGTACAATAGTAAGTCAGGCGAAAAGATGTTTAAACTAGACTGACTAGTAATACTCAATTTTGAGGTGGCGGATTGTCAATGCCAACTAGGGGTGAACACAGTTCAGTTTGAACGGTTTGAAACAAATTTTCAAATCAAATCATTTAAGACAGTTTGAAATTTTTTCAAACCAAACCAAATCATTTCAATTTCTGAACCAAACCAATTCAAATCTTTTTTTTAGTTTGGTTCGGTTTAAAACCACGGTTTAACAATGAAAAAAAAATTAAATCATAAATATTAGTCTAAAATTTCACATTAAAACGTAAATTGTATTATTAAAAAAATTACTAATCAAAATTATATAAGTATAATCATTATAACGCAGCAACATGATAATTTGACTTGAATTTAGGCAAAATTTGAGAAAATTATTAGTGGAAAAAAATGAAATTTGCAAATTTGAATTAAAATATAGATTTAATTGTCTGCTCAATTGTGATGAAGAATCGATGATTATGATTTAGCAGCAATTAGTCAACACTTCACCCAATTTAAGGATTTTATATTCATAGTTGTGATGACTGATGGATATTTGGATATGATTTAATTAATTAATTAAGATGTATAATTGTCGAATTGAGTTTAATTGAATTATGTCTAATATAGATTTATCTTTGCAACTAAAATGTGTTAAGTTTTAATTGGGTTACATAAAATTTAGACTAATTTATTTTTAGATTTTTTTGGTAAATGGTTTGACGGTTTAAAACGGTTTGCAAAGATTGAAACCTAAACTAAATCACTTCGAAGTGGTTTGATTCGGTTCAAAACTTAAAAGTTGACGGATCAACGTGGAACCAAACCAACGATTTTAGAAAAATGATTTCGGTTCGATTTTGCGGTTTGACAATTTCATTGTTCAGCCCTAATGCCAACAATCTATTGTAGTCGAGCATAAAATGACTAGTTTACCCCCATCCAACCATTTCTTTCTCCTTCATTCCATTATTTGATTACTAATGAAGTTGTTTATTTGTGAGTTGTGACAATCATGAATCACAAATATAATAATTATTTAAACATTTTATTGATTTACTAAAGCCTTAGATCATAAAAATACCCAAAAATCTCGAATTTCATGTGTACTCAATATGTTTTCATCATAGTAAGGTAGTTGACATTTAAGCGTGAGGTTTACAGATGACACAAATGTTGTATTAGATCCAATATTTAAGAAGTGTTAACTCAAATGGTTCTTCAAAAAAATATTATAAAAACGAAGGGTTTATACACATTATTGTATTTCTTATATTTATTACCTGGTGACAACTGACGATAAAGAAATCAGAACTAAGGGTCCATTTGACTGTAAGAATGGAATTTGAGTTGGAAAAAATGAATTTTAGGGAATTGAATTGCTTAGAACTTGTTTTACTGTAAATTGTCAATTAAATGTGTTTGATTAATAAATTTTTCACTTGAAAGATATTGAAATTTTGGATTTTTTTGTATTCGTTTGACTTTGTTTTTCATGAAAATTGTCAATTAAATGGATATATTTTTTTACAATTGTGAATAAAATTTGTTTGCATTGCCAAAAAAAAAAAAAAAAACTGGAAATCATTTTCTCACCAAAACAACAATTCAATGAAAAAGGGCGCGTGGAGAGGGGATAGGGAAAATGAATTCCATGAAAAATCTTTGCCATCAAACAAGCACAAAATTGGAATCAAACATGCCTATGTGATTCCACAAATTTTTCATTCATGTACTATTGATTCTATTAAAACTTGATTATAACTGAAATATTTATTTTGTTTACTCATCTACTTGAGACTACGTACGTCAAATTTCCCTCTTTCCATCTTGTTAAATCATCCTTCACCAACTCTGGGCCAAAAGAAAGTAGCTAGCGAAAAAAGCGATTGCTATAACTAAGGAAACTTTTCATGGTCTCAAGCTAATAACAAATTATTGTTCAGAAATAAGCAAGAATATATCAAGAAAATCACTATAACGTTTCAGACAAGGAGTCATTCCTCTAAATCTATCTAAAGATTCAAGAAACCAGAAGGAAGATAAAAATCTAGATATAATCGCATTTATTTTCACCCATGGCATTGCAGAGAAGGACAGCGCTCTCTGCAAAACTGCGACAGACAAGGACCTTTGCAATACGATGATCAGTGGAGGACGTGCTTCGAAACAGCGATTGATATGCTTAAGGATATGCTCTTGCAGCTGGTGACAATGGCACACTGCACACCAAATTAAAGTGCCTCTTTCCCAGAAGCCGCCATGGCCAAGGAA